CGGGAAGAAAAGTGTGGTTGTCTTAGCCAGGTGAACATTTTGGACAGTGCCAATTAAACCCTATCCGTACGCCCTGGGGTCATTTTGTACACCCCGGGTTGTATTCTTCACATTTTAGAATACTTCTAGTGCGAAGATATCTTTGAAACTTTCAGTATTTCTCAAAAAAATCTGTTATGCAAAGCGTACGGATTGGACTAATGAGTAAATTTCCTTTTTGGAAAGTAGTGGTACGGAGTTCCCCACGTCATATGGATATGATAGTAAACACGACGTAAGGATAGGGTTAATTATATAATTAACGTAAGCGGGAACGTGAGAAGTGGATATTTGTACAAGTGACTGTCTTGGACAGGTGGCTATTCACTGTCAGAGCAGATTTGATTGTATTTCGAAGCAGTAAAGACACAGGATCCTGCTGGCAATCAAAACGGAATAATATAACTGAAGTAGTAATATCAGAGACCACCTTCAATGTCATAAACTCCTTCATAAAAACATGTTGTTACGAGCACAGGCCTAATTGAGAAAAACATGAAGTAGGGCCTACAGGTAAGCCTAACCACAATGAAAGACTTGGCAAAATGTACGGAGAACTTAGGGAGCATTGTACTCCACAACTGGATGGATAGTTGGGTGGATGGATGGATGAATGGATGGGTGGATGATGGATGGATGGATGAATGGAGGGATGAAGGGATAGAGGAAAGGATGGATGGATGGATGGAGGGATGGATGAAGGTACAGACAGACAGACAGACAAACTGACAGGCAGAGAGACAGATGGACAAATAGATAGCTAGACAGATCAATAGACCAACAGAGACGCAGACAGATGTATAGAAACAGCGACAGATAAATACATATGGTCGCTTTTAAGGACAAGCGGGCTAACCCAGATTTTGGGGGTTTCAAGAAATCTTGACCTACATCAAAAGAGAGTATTGCCCTACCTATAGGAGAAGTTTGGTTTCGTTGGTGTGTATATTTGTCCGGTTTATAGAAGAAACTCCCCTTGTCTTATAAAGTTACTGAACAAGGGACAAAACTTTACCTTCGATTTTCTCAAAAACAGCATTTTTCGGGATAGACCCCTTGTACTTGAAAGTCAGGAAACACAAACGATAAGTCAGTACACTGAATTTGACAAGCAAAAAAAAAATCAAATAAAAGATAGACATATAGAAGGAAGAGCAATAGTGAGAGTTACCGTATGATAACTTGATAAAAATAGTTACGCACTTTGGTCCTGGTAGGAAGAAAGAACTTGGGAAACGGTACCACTCCTTGCCCACACACACGTTGACTGGCTTGTCCACAGGGAGTGTGTGAACACTGGGGTCAGAGACCACTCGGTGCAACTCCACATAGATGTCCAGGGGAGCATGGTAGCCTGTGAGTGAGAGAGAAAAAGAGAGAGATAGAAACAGATAATGACTTACACAGTAAGTTAAAGTTGTGAAGAGACAGACAGATATAGACTAACACTGCGAGCTAAAACGACACAATTTAGATCATTTTGGACGCCAGCTGCTTTGATCCGACCATGATCATCCCAGGTTGAGTAGGACACAGCATCCCAGCAGACAGACAGACTGAGACACTTGATAAAACAACATCCCATAGCATGAAGGAATCAAAATCTTGAGCTTGCACCATTATATTTATCAAATCTGTTAAGACTGTACATTCCAACTCGCAGTTTAAGGTAATCAGCTGACAAAAAGAAATTTATTTTACCATCTCTGAAACTTAAAACAATAGGTGAAAGGGCATTTGAATACCAAGGCCCCAAGATTTGGAATGCTTTACTAAGTACTTTAAGAGAGATCAAATTTTTTTATTCTTTCAAATGTCAGCAGAAGTCGTTTCGGTTTTTAATTTAATAAGATGAATATTTGGAGTAATTTTCTTTAGTCAGAACACAACGTTTTAAGTTACTGTGGTACGTTGTACTGTATTGTAAAGCGCTCAGAGCCTGTGTACTTTAATCGGGGTTGAGCGCTATATAAATGTCATTTATTATTATCATTAACAAAGTCTAGCCCAACCACGACACCACAGATGCACATCATGTAGGCAATTCATCAAAGGAAGATAATCGGTAGTGGCCCACAAGTCTCACCTTGGTGCACAGCCACGATGCGAGACAGGGACATCACAGCAAAGACCACAGAGAACACGGCCGGCATCCATTGGTTTTTGTGAGCGTAATGACCTTTGTCCTCTGACCCTCCACGGGTTAAGACATGAAGCACTCGCTGTGAAGACAAACATAAATTTCAGATAAAAGACAGTAATGTAAAAGGAGAGCCATAAAGAGAGTCCTTAGATGATTACCATGACAAAGTTATACTTTATTACAGCACTGCTCAGTGGTGACGAGGCTTCTATAGTGTCTCTGTATTTTGACATCTATTTGTAAGGCAGCGTGGTGGAATCAGGCTCTCGTCAAAATAATCAAAGTGAAGAAACTTGCATTTTTCCGCAGGTTTGTGTA